CTGTTTTACTGATGGAACAGAATTTTATTTTATTTTTTTCAGGATTCAGTCAGCTTGGTCAGATGTGGGCCCGCCTCAGTACCACACAGTTAACACACTCCCTGCACTTTGTGAAAGTTTGATTTTTGTTTGTTTTTCCTTCTGCTCAGAACAAAGTGACTATGACAGCTCAGCTTCCAGTGGGATGACGGACCAGGAGAAGGAGATGGCAGCGAGCGCATACGAAGCTTTTGCGGTAAACAGTTTTGGCTTCTTTCAGATACTTTACAACCTTAATGTTTTGGTGAAAGGTTTTACTTTGGTATGAGGCGGAGTAAACACAAACATGAAAAGAAAATGTTTCTTTTACGAAGCTATACTAAATCACTATGAACAGATTTGCTGGTTTTAATCGTTGCATCGTCGTCACGTTTCAGTCTGATTGACATTAATTAGTCTCACCGGACACTTCTAGCTTCCCATCAACCTTTCAGTTTATTTAAAGAAAAACAAAACAAGTTCTGTGTAGTTTGGTGTTGTTGTGTCAAAGTCTGAATGTGGAGCAGAGAAACCAAAGATCTGTCTGAGGAGCTCAGAGACAAGATTATAGAAGTTAAATCTAAAGCTGTTTCCTGTTCCTCTCACCACAGCTGACAAGATTATTAAAAGGGTTAAAGTTCACGGACTGTAGCCAACCTCCCAGGATGTGGATGCAAGAGGAAATGCAGCCCCAGATTGTGTGAATAGTAAAATAAAAGGCCAAAGAAATGTCTAAAAATATTCAAGCTGCAATCTACGATCAACATCTGTCATTGTGTGATCCAAACAATTTAATTAAAAATACTTTATTGATCCCAAAAGTTAATTACAGAACCATCTGTCAAATTTTGAATCATAATGAGCTCCATAGAAGAAGACNATATTTATGTTTGTGGTTGTAATGTGACAAAATATGYAAAAGTTCAAGGGGTATGAATACTTTTGCAAACCACTGTATATTAGCTCCTGCTTGCTAAGTGCTGATATTACAAGAACCTCAACGAGGCTCTTTTGTGGATTGAGAAACACAAAAAATACAAAAACAAAAACGAATATTAGTGCTGTTTGCATTTGTGCATGATTGCAGAGGTTTCTTCCTGTATTGTGAAAAGCTCCATCTCTGCAGCACTTTATTGCACAATCTCATTAATAAAAACGAAACGTAGCTAAAGTTTCCACCTAAACTGCATATTGAAATTTGGATTGTGAAACAAGAATGAAATGTCTAAGACTCATGTGACCATGAAGACTGAGATCACATGGTTGTTTGAAAAAGCTCCTCGTGTAGTATGTTCACGTTCATCCATTTCCTCAGCAGTTTCCTCTATCACTACAGTGAAAGGATGTGTTGAAATTGATTATTCAGGACATCCTGATCTAATATCACACTAATATCAGTCCCTTGTTTCAGTGTCTTTGCACACAAGTCTTCAGAGAGCCACCTTCAGGACAACCCGTCTCCATTTAAACATGTTCATGTCAGCGCCTGCAGCACTGACTGGTGAGGTAAAGTGGGAACAAAAAACGGATAAGAAAATAAATCAAATGCTTTTGTTGAAGTGTAAGCAGGCGCCATCTCACAAGATGCTCTCGCTGGCCGCCTTCTTCAGTTTGCTAGAGAGCAAGGAATGCTGGGAAGAGCTGGACTCGTTTGCTGCAGGGATGAGGAGACACACTTTCTGATTTGTCCGTCTCCACTCCGAGTAGAGCTGACAGTGGTAGCGGAAAGATACCTGCGAGCAGAAACCAGGCGTCTAACGTCAACACTGAGGACTGTGATGATGTCGTGATGTTCCTGTGTGTGTGTGTGTTCATGCGTACCAGAGTCCAGAGGACGTAGATGGTGAACAGAGCGACAGTGAGGGCTATGAGGCCCACCGCCTGCAGCCAGCTCCCTAAGAGAAGGTGGTCCTGAGCGCCCCGCAGGCACAGCCAGCCAGAGATGGCAGCCAGAGGAGTGATGAAGAGGAAGCACACCATGTCACAAAACAGCGTCCTCTTCTCTGTGCGAGGGCCGGGGTCCTGCAGCCACTGTGGAGTGACAGGGAAAAAGCTCAAGAGTAGCAGAAAAAAAAAACATGACAGAATGGACAAAATAACAGCAAAACAAAGGATAAGATAAAAATAGAACAAAAAGATAGCTAAAAGTACCGTAGCTAAATGGTGACTAGTCTAAACATAGCATAAAGTTTGATAAAACTACGTATTTATTCATGTATAATACGATCATCCTTTTTGGAGCTTAAAAAGGCGTTTCTGGTCCCCACCTGTCGTTTTGCTCCTCAGCATGTCTTCCTAAAAACACTGCAGGATTTCTCAAACATGCATGAATGAGTCAAAGCAAGGCTGTGGGCATGTTTTTTATGAGATTATAACATTATAACATGATATAAAACTCAAAAAAGTTTATTTTACATGATATTGCCCCTTTAAATTTCTAGTATTATCCATGAATAAACACAGTAAATGTAAACATTCCAGACGTGACACGGGCTGAACTTACAGCCTCAGGGTTTTAAGACCGTGGCACTGACACCAGACAGTAGCACCACAAAAAGACAAAGATGCAGCATCTCCTGAATGATCTGAACGCTCTGATTTATGAATGGATAACTTTGGCATGAAGGATGCAGAAGTACTTCACGCATCCATGCTTTATCTTCTGCTTGTTCCAAAGTCGTGTCGTGGGAGCGGCGGCAGCTTGATCAGGGAGGTCCAGACCTCTCTGTCTCCAGCCACCTCTTCCAGCTCTCCTGGGAGGACTCCAAGGTGTTCCCAGGCCACGTCCCGGGTCTTACTTGGGGTCTCCTCCCAGTTGGACATGCTGGAAGCCCCTCAGTAGACAGGTGTTCGGGAGGCATCTTTACCAGATACCAGAACCGCCTCAACTGGCTCCTCTGGATCTACTCTGAGTCTCTCCTGGAGAACTGAACTTCTCACTCTGGTCCAGCTACCCTGCAGAGAAAACTCATTTCATCTGCTTGAATCTGCAAACTCATTCTTTTAGTCCCTAACCAAAGTTTGTGACCATAGGTGAGGGGAACACTGATCGGAAATGTTAGATCTGTGAATTATGTTGGTATTGGAACTTGATACTAGATTGGATCGGCCCCATCCCTACTCTGAGATTCTTGAACTCCTCCACTTGAGGAAAACCTCAAACCCCACCCTGGAGASAGCAATCCACCATGGACCCAGATTTGGAGGTGCTGACCCTCATCCCAGCTGTGAACCTCTCTGGTGAGAGCTGAAGATCACAGCACGATGATGCCCACAGGACCATATCATCTGCAAATAGCAGTGATGAGGCCACCGAACCGGACCCCCTCCACCCCCCTGGCTGAAACGAGAAATCCTGTCCAAAAAATGTCACAGAATCAGAGAAATGGACAGCCCTGCAGTCCATCACAGCACTCTCTTCTCCTAACCCGGCTTTCAATCAAAGTTTTGCACCCACTTCGGATTAGCTAGAAGGCCTATCTAGTGTGGTTGGGAGTGACAGTTGTGCCTTTGTTGGATAAAGAAAAATACTTGTTAAATCTCAAAAACAAATTCAGTCACGATGGAATCCATCATGGCGCAGGAGTCAGCCCTGCACTATGCCCGACTTGTACCACCTCTCCTGTGGATGGTGGGCATGCATGTTTGGTCTCACCCAGGCTGAGCCAGGCCAGGTGGAGTCCTGGTTTCCAGGCACTCACCGACAAGTAGGGGTGTAACAACGGCTGTGTCCAAAACGACAGGCCGGGTCCTCCGGAGGACCCAGACTCCTCGGTCTCGG